CCCACCTGGCATGTGGATCATCTACTTGATGTTTAAAATTCGTATAGCTGGGTATGTCGCAATTGGTCTAGGGAAAACCAGAGTTACTGAAAACGGTAATTATTAGGTAGTATTAATTTGTATTTAGGATAGCAATAGCCTACTTTGTAAAGATACTTGATGTATTGACTAAAACAAATGTTTAATAAATGTCGCGCATCTAATGCCCTTAGCCAATTTAAAAAAAAAATAATAATAATAAATAAATAAATAAAATATTGTTTATACTGATTATTAAATAATATATTAAGTATATAAGTTTGTTTTAATATTTTATAAATTTTAATTAATTAAGTCTAGAATATTAATTAATTAATAAAAATAAACTAATTATGATTTTTGTAAAAAAATTGTTATTTTTTTTATTTTTTTTAGCAAGCAATAAATGTATAGATTTTATTAAATATTTTGTTATTACCAATATATCAATAATCATTTATACAATAAATAATCAATGCTTGCTAAAACTATTAGGTAATATATACTAACTCTAAAAAATCTTGTAAGAAAAGAGAAAATAAGCAAATAATAACTAGCTATTAGTTATATTATATACCATACATGTGTTCTTGCTAGATATACATTGGAAAAATATAACTTATGTGTTTAGTGATGTGTATAACTTATATGACTTATTCAAATTAGGTTTTGTATTCATTACTGAACCTGAAAACCAGTATTTAACAAGTTTTGTGACCATAAGTCTTGTCTATATTAGAGGCCTGGATCTCAATATGATATAATTATCTTGTACTGATTTTTGAGAAGATAAGCTGACCATGGTTTTTGGTAGTATTAGAAAGTGACAAATATGACAAAAGAATATCTTTATGAAACTTCTTTGAAGTATATTAATTGTTTTTTTTTTTAATTTTTATAGTATAATAAAATATAAAAAGTATTATTGAAAAATATATATTATGTATATTATTGATTTTTCAAACTATTAATATAAACAGTTTTATAAAAAATATTATTAAAAAATATAAGAGTTTTTATATTATTTGTATAAATATATATATAATTATTGAGAAAGTTTGATGTTTTTTAAAAAAAATAAAAATAAAGACCTTTAAGATAATTATAAAAAAATAATTTTTGAGTTTTTTTTTATACAATTCAAAAAAAAAAAAAACTTATCAATTTTATTATTTCTTGATTAAAGATTTTATTTTAATATACTAGTATACTTTTTGAGATTTTTATAATAAAAGTAAAAAAATATATAAAGAACTTGTAAATGTTAAAAGGTGAAAAAAAAAAGTTATGTACAGAAAAAAGTTTAATTAATTAATAGTTAATTAATAGTTTAAAAATAATTTATTTTATTGAACAGTATATAAAAAATTATAATTAAATAATTTTAAATATATTTATTATTTTTTTTAATAATATTTTTTATAATCTATATATCTTAATGTACGTAAGTCTTTATACAATAAATTTTCATAGTTTTAAATTGAAAATAATTAATATTTATAAAGGCTTCTATTAATAAATTTAGCTTAAATTATTTTATAGGTAAAAAGCATTCTGCTATAATAATTATAGTAAAATTTAAGGATTAATAAAAATTTTATTTATAACATCGTATCATTTTAAAAATTTGCAGTCCTAATCATGTAATTATTTATAATACTATTTTAATTTTAATTTTACATAATTATAATAACAAATCAAAGTTATCGAGAATCTTCTTAATAATGAATGGTCGTTGACTGTTAAACATGGTTTAATATCATAAAGAACTTCTAATGTAATGAATTTCTCTAAACTCTAAATAATTTCGAAAGAAGTTTTGAACATTGGAAAACTCGTTCGACGAGTAGAATTGCATTCATCTCAAGTTTATTAAAATAACTTTTCATGCAATTCATTTCTTATGAGATTGCTCATTCTTTTAAAAAATAAATCATCGTTTCTTGAACCGAATTAAACTATGAATAATCATATGAGTTACTGGAATCGATACAATTACTCTTCAGTACTTTTATTTGGATATAATCTTCTTGTCCATTCTTTCCTTTCATCCTACAAATTGATTGTCGTCATTATATTATTGAATAATGTTATTTTGAATTTTAGGAACAGAGTATATAATCGCAATTTACTCACCGGGCTCTTATGAAAAAGCCCTTTGTTTCTACCTGTCCATTCATATATACTAAACATCGCTCCAACTCCGGCACAGGCTCCAAATGCGAGAGGATAGGAATGGGCTACGACACAAGCATTAAAGATTAAGAGGATTTGTGAAGAACTCAAATCAATAAACCGGTTGCACGGGAAAGAATATACCTCTAACTCCCGCCATAAAACCGGCAGCACACCCAGCACACGCGCTATTAATCCAATCGTCAGTTTTACGAATGTTTGCAATTATAGCTTCTGTTCCCGAAAAAACACCACCTATTAAAGCTATAGCATTTCGAGAATGTCGAATTAGCTATAAACAAATATTAAATTCACTAATTGAATCTAGATATTATTTCATCTGCCGTATTCCTCTCGTCATAAACCCTACCGTATCCAGTGATAGTCCCTCCGGTTCTAGTAAAAACACCAGCAGCCCCATGTTTGTGTTCACTAATTGCATTTTGCACTGTTGATATTACGAGCCCAAAAGCTCCGAGTCCTGCTGCATATTTAAGTGTGGGAAGAATTACTTCCTTTTCAATATAGACTTGATTATTAGAGGAAATTTCATGAGCAATTGGAGAAGTCTCAACTGTTGTGGACATATTAGCACTGGATCTAAATCAGTTACGTAACGAGATTTATATCAGATTATCACATTAATCCGAAAAATATGTTTCCTATTTAATCTAAACGATTTCTATCACATTGATAGGTTATTAACTATTACGTATATTGAAAACTAATATAATCTCATTTCTTAAAGAAAATAATCGCTGATGTATTTTCAATCTAAAATTGGTATACATTTATTGAAATTTTATTTTAATATATATTTAATAAATTTTAATATAGTATATACTGTAGTCTGATTCAAAAAAATTTGGAAAATTTTATTTTTAATTTTAATTTTATTA